GAGCTGGGTCGCCCCGCCTGCTGCCAGGGGCCCTGCATTGATGAGGCCGCAGCAAAATGAAGTGCGCTGCTTTCAGCAAAAGGGGGCTGTTCCATCGGCCGGGCCGCCTGGCGCACCTGCCGCGCGTCTTGAAGGGGAAGTGCGGGATGTACGACCCGTCATGGCCGCGCAGCGCGTGCACGTTGCCGTCCGTGGAGCCAAAGACGATCTCCAGGCGCCCGTCCCCGTCGAGGTCGCCCGCGATGGCGCCCTGGGGTGGGGGGTTGCGTTGAGCGCGTTGAGCGCGTTGAGAGCGTGATTGTGTGTGTGTGTGTGTGTGTGTGTGTGTGTGTGTGTGTGCGTGCGCGCACGTGCACGTAAGAGGGATAGCACCGACCACCCAGGACATTCATAAAGCCCTGCAGCGTCAAGGACGCGTGTTGGCCAGCACGCACACCCCAGTAATTACCCTATCACCTGCGATATCATGCTCTTGACGTGCTTCTCCCAGAGCTCCTTGCCGTCCCGGTCAAACAGGGCCACGTTGCCCAGGGAGTCGCCTGGAGGGTGGTTTGGCGAGGGAGCAAAGCCGCCGAGTCAAAGGAGGAAACACAATGGCTTGAGGACGAGTGATCAGGGACCCAGCATGCTAAAAAACCTAGGCCGCGCATCACAACAGCAAGGACCTGCGCCAAATCAGAGCGTATATCCTCGTCAAGCCGCAGATGCGGTGTCCACTCACCCGCAAAGATCTCCAGCCAGCCGTCGCCGTTGAGGTCGGCCACCAGCAGCTGGCCCTGCACCTCCCCCATCTGCAGGGGCCAGCCAGTCCGCGGCGACCCGTAGCAGTCCAGGACGTACACGAAGCCCACGCTGGAGCCCAGGATGATCTCCAGCTGTGGAAGAAAAGAAGGGGGGAAGGGGAGGGTGAGAGGACGAGGATGGGAACGAGGACAGAGAGAGGGCGAGAGAGAGCGCACGCGTACACACACACACACACACACACACAAACACACACACACACACACACAAACACACACACACACCCACTCGCAACACAAAGAAGGCAAAAAGGGGGAGGCAGGGAGAAACAAGTTGGAAGAGAGGGACTGCGTGCGTGCCCGCACGTGCGTAGAGGGGCGCGTTCTTGCATGGGATGTGTGAGCGTGCGCACACGCGAGGGCGCGCCCTCGCAAGGACGAGTGGATGTGCGAGAGTGTGTGTGAGGTCATGTCCGACAGCTCGGACATGACAGGCTGTCTACGCAAGCCAGCTGCTTGCCAGTTCAGGCGAGGGCGCTTGTAGAGAGGCGCGCACACACACACACTCGCCCCAGCCTGCCCTCGCAGCGACGCCACACCGCCCAGGCCCCTTTCCAGCAAGAGCCGCACTTCCCACCATTCTTGCCCCCGCGCCCGCACCTTCCCGTCCCTGTCCAAGTCAGCCAGCGTCGGGCTGGAAAACATGTGGGCCTTGAAGGTGGTGTCGTCGGTGGTGAGGTCAAGGTGCTGGCTCCACTTCAGGACGCGCGACTGCAGGTCAAACGCCACGACGCCGCCTGCGGGGCGGGTTGGGGCGGTGGAATGTTGGCGTTTGGGGAGGATGGAGATGCGGAGCGCGATGGGGTTTGATCAGGTGGAAAGGGTGTGGTGCGTTTGCGGGGCGTGCACCATAGAGTGAGCAGGCAGGCGGCTGGAGAGGGGGCCATTTGGTTAGAACGATGTGGGTCCTGTTGCAGCGCAAACCCTGCGCTCTCAACCGAGGGATGAAGGGAAAATCCATGAAAATCATGTGGTAGCAGTCTGGAATTAGTGGGGGCCCTATCGTGGCCTTGTGCAAAGGCGGGTTGGGCAGAGCCCATTGGAGAGTGGGCCTCAGCTCGGAATTTCCCTCGGTTGTTGTCTGCATGGTGTGCGCCCCACGCACTTTGGGCGCTGCTAAGGAGTGCACTGCGGCACCCGTTGTATCGTCACAGCTGAGAGGTGCGCCCAACATGGACGACAAGCAGCGCGCAGCATTGCGCGCAAGCGCGCGCGTGCGCGCACGCGCGCACACACACACACACACACACACGCACACACACACACACTCACACACTCACAACCAACGGGAATCGGCGGCTCAGCGTTCTCTCGGGCAATGTGTCAGCACGGTTCCGCGCCCCACGCACTTTTTGGGCGCGCTAAGAGCCCTTGCGCAATTTTGGCTCATCACCACCGCCAACGACACGTCACACAGAAATGGTCAGGAATACCTTCAACCTCCTGAAGGACCCTGCAAACACAAAGATTATTTGAGGTGCAACCCTTGGATGGCGCGGCAGGCAGGGCGCCTGCGACGCCAGCCGGCCCGCTAAGCCACCAGGTGGCCACAGCAACGCCAGCAGAGGCGGGCGGTGCAAAGCGCTCTCGGCTGATTGTGGTGTGGGCAGCGGAGTTCCAAGCTATGTTGTGTCATGACAGTTCTGGCGCGCAACAGGGCAAGTGTAAACAGCAACCGCGGTGCAGATGGCGACGCAGGTCTTGGCTCAGAATTTCCCTCGGTTGTTGTCTGCATGGTGTGCGCCCCACGCACTTTGGGCGCTGCTGGGGAGTGCACTGCGGCACCCGTTGTATCGTCCCTGCCAAGGCAACGAATAATCCACTTGATGTTATGACCGTGCACACACATATGTATGCATGCATGAGCTGCAAAAATGTTGTTCCCATGCGTACGCGCCCATATCCGTTCACACACGCGTCCTCGCACACAAGCACGCCGCACGCACGCCACACGCGCGTGCACGCACACGCACACCCACACGTACACACACACATACACACACACACACACACACACACACACACAACCCATGCACACACATGCGCGCCCACCCTCACACGCACGCACACCCAAGCAATGAAAATCAGCGGCTCAGAGTTCTCTCGGGCAATGTGTCAGCACGGTTCCGCGCCCCACGCACTTTTTGGGCGCGCTAAGAGCCCTTGCGCAATCTTGGCTCATCACCACCGCCACCAACCCGTCACGCCATCGAGACACCTCCGCCAAAACAAGCTCACCCCTCCACAACACCATTCACGTTGACACTGTCCCATTGTGAACACGCTGCAAAGCACGCTCGTGTCCTCCAAAGCATCATCAGAATAGGTGCCAGATCTCAGATCTCTGATCTGAGATCACGCTCACCTGCAACGTACTTGTCCTTCTGCAGGTCCTTGCCCAGCTCGCCCGCGTGTGAGGGGTCGTCATAGTAGTCCTTGTCGAAGAAGTAGCTGACGGACAGCACCTGGCGGTGGGGTGGGGTTGGTCAAAGGGAGCGCAGCGATTGGAAACGGTCCAAGAGCCTGAGGCTGCAAATGGCTGGCTGGTGCCAACAGAAGCGCTGCGAGAACCGCAGCCCCTGCGGCCTGCTTTCACGCCATCGTGTTCAGCACAGCAGCACGGGTGGACTGGCGCGCCATTCAAAGCTCTCGCAACCCGGCCCCACCTCGCTCGTATGGACAGGCATTCTGCCGTCCCCAAGCACAATCACAAGCCCTCATGTATGTGTTTCGCGCACATACACACAAAGACACACACACACACACACACACACACACACACACACACACACACACACACACACACAAACGTGCGCTTGCGCAAACAAGTGCCGCGAGGAGCGCACCAGCTCCTCGTGGCCGTCGCCATCGATGTCTGCGATGGCTGGCGTGCACAGCACATGAGGGTCGATGTAGACAAACTCTGACGTCATGTGGTGGGGGTCCTGATGTCACGATCATAGGGGGCAGCCCAATGTGAGAGGGCCAGGTTTGAGGGAGTGAGAGAGTGAGGTAGTGAGGGAGTGGAGGACAAGAAGGGGTGACGGCAGGGAGGGGGAAAGGCAAGGGGCAAGACCGCACAATTGACGCATCGTTGAGCAGCTCTGCACCCAGTCCACCATTGGACACTGATGACAAATGTTGTACCACACCGTTGGGGCAAGCCCAGCGCAGACGGCGGTGCCCTTCCTCGGCACGCGCGCGCCACGCCCGCACATTTCACCTGCCCAAACGACTCGTCCCGCCAGCCCCAATCCGAGTCGTGCTCGAGCGCCTCGTTCCAGTGGTTCGGGTAGGGCATGGGGTCCGGCGCCGCCCCCTCGCCGTCCGCCGCGCCGTCGCCATTAATGACGTCATCGGCCTCGTCGACTGGGCCGCCGCCATAGTATTCAGTGCCGCCATTGAACGCGCGCTCCGCTTCGAGTGCGGCCTCCGCGGCCTCTGCCTGCGGCAGATTCTCGCCAAACTCGTCGAAGGCGGCCGGGATCGCCTCGATCAGCGGCTTCCCATCTGCCGTCTGATCCGCCTGCCCGCCCGCCTGCCCCTGCCCCTCTGGCTTCCGCCCCTCCTCATACTGCTGCTGCGCACCGCCGGCGTCCGCCGCGGCCGTGCCGCCGTACGCCTCGCCGCCGGCCGCTGGGGGTGTGGCGGTCTTTGGGTCCTCTTCCTCGAAGAGGCGGAAGCTGTCGAGCGCCTCGTCTGACAGACCCTGCTTGGATGCATCAAACTCAGCGCCCGCCGTCGGCCCCTGCGGCTGGGCCGCGCCCGCCCCTGCCCCTGGCGCCGCTGCAGCCGGTGTTGCGGCTGCACCGCCGGCCTGCTGCTGCTGCTGCCCGCTGCCCTCCTGCTGCAGCGCCCGTGCGGCGCCCGCTTGCGCGTCACCCACGGAACCCTGTCCGTCCGCGCTCATCAGCCGGCGACGGCGCTGGGAAGGTGCCCCGAAGGTGCTGGCCAGGTCCTGCAGCTTCTTTTCAGATTCTATGAGGTCGAGGTACTCCTGGTACAGCTTTGGGTTCTTGGCCTTTGTGTCGGCCAGGGCCTGCTCGGCAGAAGCCTGAAAACATCAAAGGGGACGGATGGCAGTGTGTGTGCGTGTGTGTGTGTGTGTGTGTGTGTGTGCGTGTGTGTGTGTACGCGCGCGCGTGCGCGTGCGTGCGCCTTACAAAAACAGGTAGGGGTGGGGGATTGGGTTTGAGGGCGGAGGCTTGCAAAATCAGCTGGCTGCATGTTTGATTCTGAGCACACGCGGTCTGCATGCGGACAACTTTTGGATCGAAGTCGGGCGATCCCCTTGCAGGTACTCCAGCCACCCGCGATCCTTCTGCCCTTGACCCTCCGCCTGCCCCAACCCCCAACCTTTCCAAACTTGGCCTCGAATTTCTCCAAGGTCTGTTTGAATATCAACACGGCAGACTGCTCCTTTTGACCCAACTGCTGCTGCTGTTGCTGCTGCTGTTGCTGCTGCTGCTGCGGCGGCTGCTGCTGCTGGGGTGATGACTGCGCCGCCGAATGCGCAGCCGGCTGCGCCGCCGGCGTCGGCGATGCAGGGTGTGGCTGCACATGGGATGGTTTCGGCTGGAGCTGCGCTTGTTGGGGTTGCTGGGACTGCTGCTGCGCTGGAGACGCGACAGGCGCCGGCTTGGCAGACGGTGACGGCGACACCTTGGCCGAGTGGTGCGGCTTCACGCCCTGCAAAGGGCCGAGGCGCAGGGTTGGTGCATGCATTGCCGCTGGGGCCATGGCTGCAACTTGGCGGGAGTCGTCGCGCCGCCGCCTGGTGCACCTTCGTCTGCCCTGCCGCCAGCCACCAACCATCAATGATGGGCACCGAGGGAAAGAACCTGGGGGACCCCCAATTCCCGAACATGCAATTTCCAGCTCCGACGTGGCACCCTCAGCCCCGACCTCCAAGCCGCCCCCCTCCTGCCCATCCCCCTACACCCACACCCGCCGCACCTTCCCCTTGCTCTTGCTCTTCGCCTTGGCGGCTGCATGCTGCGCGAACGTCGCCGCTGCAGCTCCCACATCGGGGTGTGAGTGATCGACTGGGTCAGGATTGATCCCCACGAACCAGTTGCGCCGCACGCGCAGCCGCGGCACGCGCAGCTGCATGGGCAGCTGCTCCCCCTGGGACCGCCGGGCAGGAGGGGGGATTGAGCCGTGGGTTAGACGGCGGCAGGTGACACGAGTGCATGTGTTTGAGGGGGGAAGTTGAATAACTCCAGGCGTGGCAAGGGCAAAACGACAGTCAACACCACGCTTGCCTCCTCACATGCCCACACACTCCAATGCACTACAACCCTACGCCTGCAACAGCCCCAACCGCCACCCGGCAACCCACCGTGTCCTTGAAGGCGTGGACTTCCCCGTTGTACCCCACCACCAGCACATCGGGCGTCCCGTCTAGGTCCCAGTCGTACAGCAGAGGGGAGGTGTGGACCGTGGACGCGTGGAATGCTGGCCAGCCCAGGGCCTTAGCGCCGTCGACGCCCTGCCATCATCATACGGGGAGATTTCGGGGGGAGGGGTGCGGTCGGCGGTGGGGTTATGGGCTGGAATGCTGGCAGACATAGGGAAAGGGGTGCGGTCGTTGGTGCCGGTGCGAGAGTTGACACCAGCTTCTGGGAGGGCGAGTTGCGGTCTCTTCTCAGCATCGGGCCCTGCACCGCAACGATGCCAAACCAAACAACAGCAACGACAAAGCGAGCATGAACAGCTGAGCAGCCAAGCGGCTGCCTCACAATCGACCCAGTGACATTGCAGCACCGCAACCCCCCGCTGTGCGACAGGCCATGAGGGAAGCTCCTTGCGCCTGCGGCACACTGCCACAGCGCACCCTCCACCCCTCCCTGCCGCCGTGCTGGAACGCCCCATCGCTCATAGGCCCACACGCCCAGCACAGCAAACCCGGGTGCTCGTGCAACCTCGGGGGCGCTGCCAACAGCACCGGTCAACAAAAGCGGCAGGCAGGCGGGCGGCGAGCGCGCCCAGCGCTGTCACCTGCAGCACCTCCATGTAATGCACAAATCCCGGGACCACCACGTCCCGCCGCCCGTCGCTGTACAGGTCTGTGATGAGGGGCGTCGCATACACCGAGGAAGACACCTGGCGGGGCGGGCGCGGACATACGAGCGTATGGAGAGGCCGGGGTCGGTGCCGCACGCTGCGCAAGCAAGCTTGCTGTAGAGGCCACTGCGCCCGAAACCAGCCTGCGACCAGCACGCCTGCACACTCGGAACATTGAACACCTGCGCCGATACCGCAGGACGCGCACACGCATGCACGCTGCGCTCAGCCATGTGCAGGGGCGGACCCAGCGGGGCGGTTGGAGGCGCCCAGCCGCGAACCTGGGTCATCCATCGCAGCTCAACGTCCAGAGGGCACTGGTCGCCTTCCGGGAGGTCATCAAACCTTGGGGTTAGGGTAAGCGGCGGGGAGTGGGGCACGTGAGAACGATGTGTGGGGCCTGGCCCCGCGGAAGCGTGTTGCATTTGCTCAAGAATAGTAACAAGCCATTCTTCAGGAGGACCAAGGAGGGGTCCCAGTGCAAGCCAAACAAGAGCTGTCTACCAATTAGCAGCTCACTGCTGCTGCGGCGAATCCTCCTTGTCATTCTCGGCCTGCCGCCCCAGAAATTTGCTGCCCGTGGATATCCAGTGGCTGTCGTGCGTGCGAGCGCGGCTCAGCTGCGCGCGTGCGTGCGGCAGCAAGAGCGCCAGGCCCACGAGGGCCGCCAGCAGCGGGCGCCGCATCGCAGGGGCACACGTGCCAAGCGTGCGGCGCCGCGAGCAGCACCGCCTCCTGCGATCGCTGCTATGACACTCCGCCGAGCACTCAGCTGCCCCGAGGGCCAAGTATTTTCACTACCTCGGCTACTCGTCGTCTGTTTGAACAAAGGGGGACACCACTCCTCAAACGATCACAGCCAGATCAGGATGCACACGACAAGGTTAGAACGTTGCGTTGATCGTGCGGCAGTCATGCACAAGACTTTGACGCGGCGCTGTTGTGAACGAACAGGGCAACTTGAGAAGTTGCTGCACTGCTGGTGATGCGGAGGCACCGCGGCCGATGCAGTGTGTGCTCGACCAGCCTCGAGATTGCGATTGCGATTGCGATTGCGATTGTGATGTGTAGTGTCTCTATAATGACCTCATGCACGCTTTGATGTTGCGTTCGGCGTTTGGTGCCAGGGGCGTGCTGCGGCTTGCAGCGCGTCGAAACAGCTTTGGGACGCATTCAATCAATTCAAAGTATCTAAAAGAATATACACTGTGCACGCGGGGTGCCCATGAGGCCCGAGTGCAACGATGGCACCGCCACAGCAGCGCACAGGCGTTCCGCTTGCGGTGGACGGCGTCGACCCGGCTACAGGCCCAGCCAGACGGTGCTGCCGCTGTCTCTGCAGCAAGCGAGGCTGAAGGAGCCGAGGGGTTGGGGTTTTTGAAGCGCAAGGTGCGCCACCGAGTGCGGCGGGTGATGGTTCATTCGGTGTGCAGTACGCACCACAGTCATGCAGCGTGCTGATTTGCCGCGCACGAGCCAGCCCAGGCGCGACACTGCACCCAGACAATCAAATAAATAACATCTTGCAGGTCCAAGAGTCCTCCGCGCGCGTGGCGGAGGCGCGCCGAGTCGCGGACGTCCCCGGGCTCACGGCGCGCCTGGCGTCCAAGGAGGCCGACGCGGCGGCGAGTGACTTGTGGGATAACGCGGCGGCTGGGCAGGCGCTGATGGCAGAGATCGCCGAGCTGAGATTTGAGCTGCAGGATATTAAGGGGTGCGCAGTGTTGAACCAGTACAAAAAGCGGAGCAGGCAGGCGATGCAAGTGTGCTCGGCTGTACGCGCATTGTTTGGGACAGTGGCGGCTGCAGGAGCATGGCAGAGGCTTTGCTGATTTCAAAACCTGTGCCCAAGCCACCACTGCCGAACCAGCATTTGCAGCCACTCGTTACTGCTCATACGCAACGCACATGCGGCCCCTAATTGGCAGGTTTGAGGGACGCCTTGAGGAGGCAGCCTTTGCAGTCGAGCTCATAGAGTCGGAGGGCGACGCCGAGGCCAGCGGCGAGGCCGCCTCGCTGCTGCGCGAGGCGCTGGCGGGCCTGTCGGCGCTGGACGCGGCGCTCGAGCGCTGGGAGCTGCGGCGGCTGCTGGCGGGGCCCCACGACCACCGGGGGGCCGTGCTGACTGTGCAGGCGGGGGCCGGCGGCGTGGACGCCATGGACTGGGCCGAAATGCTCGAGCGCATGTGAGGCAGCTGGGGCCGCTCAAAGTGTAGAGGGTTGGCATCGTGGGGCCGCATGCGTGTTGATTGTTTTTTTCTTGTGGAGGCCAGGGCGGTTGGCTGGAGCGTTTCACAATGTGACGGGCGGAGGGTTGGTGACAAGCCTGTGCCAGGACTGGGCCCCCTGGGCCGAGGCGAGCGATGCAGCCAAAAGTTGTCATTCATGGCGGGGGTGGCGGTGGCTGTCCTGGTGCAGCAGGCACCCTGTGGGCGGTCCGCTCGCCTGTGCAGCACCCCTGTACCCCCATGACCACCTTGTGTTTTTGCCATGCTCCCTATGCCTTGATCCCAACGCGATCCATCCTGACAGGTACACCCGCTGGGCGGCCTCCCAGGGCTACCGCGTGGCCACGGCGGAGCGCACGGCCGGGGAGGAGGCCGGCGTGAAGAGCGTGGAGCTGATGGTGGAGGGGCGGTTCGCGTACGGCTACCTCAAGGGTGGGCGGGTGATTTATCGGTGTTGGTGGTCTTGTGTCGAAGCGGATTTATTAGGGGGGCGGGTGGGTGCGCGGGAAACAGGCGGCTTGCGGGGCATGAGATGATTGTTTTTGCAACGGTGTGCGGGAGGGTGGCACTTGCAGGCAGGGATTTGTTGCGCGCTGTCGTGGGCGCAATGCGTCCTTAACTCCCAGGGGTGGAGCATACTCAAATGAAGGTCATCAGGATTGGTGCTAATGGGGCGGCCGCATGCCTTTGCTTATGGATGCCAAGAGCCTCGCACTCCCATCTCCCCCGTACCTGTCGCCTGCACTACCAACCCCTCCCCCCCCTTGAAACCCAATCGCCCAACCGGCCGCCCGCAGGCGAGAAGGGCACACACCGTTTGGTGCGCAGCAGCCCGTTCAACGCCAAGGGGCTTCGGCAGACCAGCTTTGCTGGGGTGGAGGTGATGCCGCTGCTGGGCGATGAGGAGGGGCCGGTCCTGGAGATTCCCGATAGGTGGGCAAGGCGGCCGACTCCGCACAGATGCGGCTAACGGTTGGGCATCAGACCGGTGCGCAGGCCAGTGAGCTCGCACAAGTGGATGGGTTGCGTGGGTGGACAGTCGAAGCAGGGGACCTGATTGTGCGGGCTCGGTCGACCCGGAGAAGGTGCGGCTTGGTTTGGCTCGGCATAGGACAACAGGGCTGCTGATGCTGCCCATTCGGCGGCGAGGGGGTTTTTCGACCGTCCCCGCCCGACCCTTTTCCCCACCAAGATTCGAGGGGCAGCAACCCGCACTTCCTCTACACATCACACACGCCAAAACCCCTGAAACCCCCCAGGGACTTGGAGGTCACCACGATGAGGGCGGGCGGCAAAGGTGGCCAGAACGTCAACAAGGTGGAGACTGGGGTACGCATGACGCACGTGCCGACGGGTGAGAGGCCGGGGGCAGTGTGGGATGGGGCAGGGTGTAGGGT